GGGGCTCTGCCGTGTGGGCTGGCTGCGGCTGCGGAAGTTCCCTCCGGTGATTGCTGGCTCCGTAACGCACGCGTGGCAGGGAAGCGACCCCGGGGCCAGCGGCGTGTAACGCTGGGGAGTGAGCACTGCCGCATCTCGGCCCGGCTGCTCGGTGCCCCCGAGCGCCAGCCCCTGTGGCCCCCTGGCACCCAGGTGCTGGCACCCCACTGGGGAGGGCAGAGCCCAGGGGCTCGGGCAAGGCTGCTGGGGGTGAGCGGGGCCACATCCCGGTTTCCGGGCTTCGCCCCCCACCCAGGGCCGCGTGCTGGCACGGGGCAGATGCTGGGGTGTAGCGGGAGCAGGGCCAGCTGCTCGCGTGCGTCCTGGAGCTGCGGGAGGCAGCGCGGCGGCTGAGCCGGGGAAGGCAAGGTTGCAGTTCCCACAGCAACGCTGACCCAGCCCCTCGTGAACCGCAGCAGCCCCGACCACGTCTCTCCTGCGACCGGCCCTGCTTTGGGGCGTCCCTCACTGGATTTCCAGGGAAGTGGCCTGAGTGCCAGAGCTGTGCCTCGCGCGTGGCGGTGGCCGTAGGAGCTGCCCGTGGCCATGGCAGTTGCTGTTTGGGTTTGAAAGAGCAGGGCTGGGCTGGTGCTTTCCACTCCTTGATGCCAGGGGTTAAGCTTTCCTCCGGCGTTGTAGAGCTGAGCCCTTGTCCATGCAGCAGCCAGTGGGGGCCTGGCCCACGGCTCGCTGTCCTCGGCCGTGGGCACTGCCTCGCGTCTGGAGCACGGGCCTGCCACCTGCTTTCTCGTGCGAACAGCCCTCCTCTCCCCCGTCACGGCTTGGGAGAGGTGCTCGGGTAGCCTGGCCCGCTCCCTGACGGCGAGGGCGTCCCACGTTCCGGCCGTCCTGGGCACGTGCAAGGCCCCACGTTCGGTTCTTACTGTGGTTGCGGCTCCCGGGGCAGCCCCATTGCTCTGGGGAGTGTGCTCACGGGAATGGTGTAACCGCCACCGGCAGGGAGGTGCCCTTGGTCTGGTCCCCTCCCCTCCCTTCCCCTCCAGCCCTGCCTGGAGCCTGGGGGGGGGCTGGGAGCCAGCGAGCAGGCCAGGGGGATGCTACAAGCTGGCCTGGGGCCCCCACGGATCTTGCTTCGTGCCCAGGGCAGCCCTGGGGTGGGGGTGACCTGTGCTCAGCATGGGAGGCGACTTGGCCAGATTCGCTGCACCGTGAACATCCCGGGGCTCGGGCTGTGCTGAAGTGAGTGTGGGGCAGGGAGGGGGAAGAGCCCTGGGAGCTATCGGGGCAGAGCAACCAGGGCAGAGCTGAGGCTGCCGGCTTGTAACCGTGGGTTGTGGCTCTGGCACTCAGGCTGGTTTGCAAAGCTCGTGAAGCACGAGCGGCGTCAGCGTTGATCACCTGGCAGGGCTGGGCTGCAGCTCTCGGGGTGGCCCGGCGCAAGTGATGCAGGATGCGTGGCGCGGCATGGCGTGGCTGCTGCCCCCACGAGTATGCTCTGGCGAGTGTCTCCATGCACGCGTGTGTGGTGAGAAACCAGACTTCCTGCATGCGTGCTCCCTTTCCTGCTAGTCAGGGAGGCGGTGTATGCCTGGCTCTGGCCTCTGCTGGGATGCTCCCTGCACCATGCCACACTGTCGTGGCTTTCCCGGCCTTGCAGGGGGTGCGGGGTGGAGGTGCAGTGATGCCAGCTGAAGAGTGGGTCACTGGGTCTGTGGTGTGGTACAGGCGGGGGTGTCCAGCTCCCCCACTAGATCTGTCTCTCCTACAGTCTTCTGTGCTCTTTGCTTACAGGGGAACCTGCAAAATTGGCACGAGCACTTCGGGGCTGTCTGCGCCCGGTGGGAGGGCTGAGTCAGCGGGCGAGACGGCAGGGTCTGGCCCCCACCGCTCCCCGCCGCGCTTCCGCGTGCGTGTTCTTGGCAAGCACGCGCCGGCATCTAGCAGCACGGGAGGCATCTCCGTGACATGAGGCATCACTGCAGCCCTGCCTGCCGGTGAGTGGGCCCAGGCCGTGGGATGGGAGACGGGAAGGAACACGAGTGAAGCTGCTCCATCCATCCTTCCGGATGCCTAGAGATGCTCTGGAGCCCCGTGCTCCCCGAGCGCACGCTGCGGGCTGTGTGCGCTACAACACGTGTGTGTCGGGGGGGGAGCTCTAGCATGGGGCCCGGTGGGTGCCTCATGGCATGTGCATCACGTGTGGGGCCCTGGGCGCTGGCTGAGGGCCTGGGGCTGCATGAGGTGGGGCGTCTCCCCCCACCGTGCCCTGGGCTGTGTTTGCACCTGGGGCTGTTCTGGGACAGGGAAGCAGCAGCGTGACACCGCGGCAGCCTGCCCTGAGTTTGGCGTCCGGGGTGGGGGGGTGTCATGTCCCAGCTGTGGGGATCTGCAGGTGGCTGCTAATGTGGCACTTGCCAGCTGCCGCCTCCTCACCTGGGTGCCTGGAGCCCACCCTGGACCCTCCTTCCCCCGAGGTCAGCTTAGTGTCCCTGCTGGGCCAGGCTGGGGCTTGGGGGCTCGGGTTGTGGCTGTGTGGGTGGGAGCTGGGGGAGCCAGGGACCCCAAGTTGCAGCTCCAGCCCTGGGACTCGGACCAGCCTTTTCCTGTGGGCACAGGCCTGGGAGCTCCAGGCACCTCCTGGTGCACAATGAGCATGCTGCCCCCCCGCAGTGCTGACCCGTGTCCTCCCTCGCATCTGTGGTGGCGCGGGGCAGGGTGGCATGGCGTGGGGGCGCATGGGCCGGCAGAGCGTGGAACGAGCTGAGCAGAGCTGCTGCTTTGGGGGCTCGACACCTCCTTGCTCTTGGGGCCCCTGTGAAATGCAGGACATGCTGCAGAGGTGGAACTGCGCAGCTCGCCCACCGCCTGCCATCCCTGGCTCCGGGCTCTGGCCATGCTGGGCTCCCATGCATGGCCCGGGGGTGGCAGCCCCTCGGGGCCTGTTGCCCTGTGGGGGAACGTGGGCCCTGTTCCTGCACCATCGCTAACATCTTGGCCCTTTTCAGGCTCCCGGAGACGCTGCTGGCTGCCTTGCACTCGCCCGCGTGAGCCGGCAGAGGATGGAGGTGACTGGCAGCCTGTGGGCCAAGGAGCCTTCGCCGGAGCCAGGAGAACAGCGGCCGCGAAAGCGAGGATTACAAACGCCCTCACGCTGAGGGCAGTGCGTGCACCAGGCCTGCTCCCGGATCCCGGGGCTCCCGTGCCACCCCGGCCAGCGCCTCCCTTGTGGGACTTCGTGCCGAGATGCTCGCCCCCCCTTCCTGCGAGCTCGCGGCGCAGATGCCTCGGGTCCTGGCAGACGGCCGTGCCCCTGCCCCCGCGTGCTGAGGGACCTTGTGCGTGGGGCGTGGGGAGCGGAGAGGGGGCCACAGCTGGCGTCCGGACTCCAGCCCCCGAGGCAGCACGGCTGCTGCCAGCAGCCCGCTCGGCAGATCCGGTGCCACGGGAGCTGCTAACACCTGCTCTCTCCGGGCACGGAGCCTGCGAAGGGCTGGCCTGGGACTGCTCGTCGCTGTCCGCAGCGGGGCCCTGAGGGCCGACATGTGACTCCTGGCCCGCTGGGGTCGCGAGAGGTCTGGCTGCCGCAGCAGGGTCCCGGCGGGGACAGAGACCCGCTGCGGGCTGGTGAGACCCACCGTGGTGGCGCCCAGAGGATGCCGGCGTCCTGTCTGCCAGCCCCACTCCATGCTGCTGCCCAGGGGATGGGGCTCTTGGGCTTCTCGTGGACCCTGTCGCTTCTGCTCTGTGCCCTGGAGCGGCCGAGGGCCCTGGCCGTGCGCGCGGAGGCAGCGAGCCCTGGCCTGGAGCCCGCGGGGGACAGCGTGCTGCTGGTGGGCGGCCGCGTGAAGCGCGGCTGGGTGTGGAACCAGTTCTTCGTGGTCGAGGAGTACACGGGCACGGAGCCGCTGTACGTGGGGAAGGTAAAGTGACGGGGGTGCCTGCCTGCCCCGCCGGGCTGCCCGGGGCTGGGGCAGGGCAGGAAGGGCTGGGGTCCGGCCAGCAGTGCTGGGGCTGGGCAGGGAGGTGCCCAAAGCACAGCCACGAGCTGGGGACGGCTCTCGGCCGGGCAGGGGAACCGCTGGCCCGCAGGCTCTGGGCGGCCCGTCCTGAAGCCCGTGGTAGCGCGAGTGGCAGCGGGGATGGCGTGGGCCATGTGGGCTCGTTCTGGCCACACCGATGCCCCGAGCCCCCGTGGGGGCTCAGCCAGGCCCAGCGCGGAGGCTACAGCCTCGCCGTCCCCCTCCGGAGGAGGCCGGGGCCATGCACCTGCTTGTGCGGGGACGCCTGGCGGGGCCAAGGCTGGCGAGCCACCACCGCCCCGTGCCTGCCACCGCAGCCGCCGGCAGAGCCGTGCTCCTCCACGGCGGCGCTCGCTGCAGTTACAGTTAATTCGCAGCTCCCCCGGGGAGCGCCTCGAAGCATCAGGCCTTGTCAAATTCCAGAGGTAGCCTAGCAACAGCCTCATTTCCAAAATGAACCCGGGAACCTAAACGAACCCATTTTACAGCCCCTTTCCACATGGCTCGCCGTGTCGCCTGCCAGCCCAGAGCAAACGGCTGAGCCGCGCGCAGGTGCTCCGGGTCGATACCGCTCCGAGAGGCCGGGTGCAGCTGGCGCGGCGTGGCTGTCATCCTCCCGGGCGTGCCGCAGCTCCTGCCTCCTGGATCGGTGCCCCATGGCCTGGCCTCCTGCCCCCACCCCACGGTGCCCGTGCGGGAGGGGCTGGGGGCCAGGGGCAGCCTGCTCTCCCCCTGCTCCAGGTTGGGGCTGTAATCACCGGGAACCTGTGCGCCCCTCGTGGGAGAGCCCGGGCTGGGGTGGCCAGGAACCCACAGCCGCAGGTGCCCGCGTTGCCCCTGCTGCTCCCTGGAGGGTTGCGAGCTTCTCGTGGGCACTGCCGTGGCCCCGCGCCGTGCAGAAACCCGTGCGGGGCCGACGCAGCTGGGAGCTTTCCTGTGGCCGAGGCACTTGCACTGGTCCCGCTGGCACCCCCCGCCGGGAAGGCACGGCCACTGTGTTGCCCCTTCCACCCCTGCCCGGGCTCTTCGGAGGTCCAATAACATTTCCATACAATCTGGGCTCTTTGGCTAATCCTTTTTCTGAACTGTAATTTCCCCCGAGGCCGCTGTCAGTTTGATGTGGATTTCTTCGGGTTTTTTAAATAGAATTATGGGGTCAGCACTAGCTCCAAACTTCTGCATGTGGACAGATCTATTTTAGATAGAGATGGGGATTAAAGGGAAAAAAGCAGATTTAATTAAGTTGCTAATATTTAAAGAAAATTGATGAACTCGGGCTTTATGAGTTGGAGCAAACAGAGAGTGCGCCTTCATTACGGGCCAGTTTTTATTTGATTTTCTTTCTTCCTCAGTCCCAGCGTCATGTTTTATTTGTGTATCTGTGCTTTCTGCTTAATCGCTTTTCATAAGGAAAATGCACCTCTGTTCACATTTAATTTTGATTTAATTAGTAGGAAGTAATTAATGGCCTCGTAAAATCCCTGTTTTTAGCCCTTTTGGGCAGGGAAACAATTTCCCTCTTTAACAGACAGAGCCGGTGAAAGGTTCTTGTCTGCTTGCCAGGGGCCCTTGCCTGGCGCTGCCCGGACGTGCCTGCCTGGTCCCTAGGCAGAGGAGAGGGGCTGACACTGGCCCTGGATCCTGCTCACCGCCTGGGCACCTAGCCCTGTCCCAGGTGCAAACGGGGGCGAGGGCGGCGGTGGGCAGGAGGCACTGGCACAGCTGGTGCCGTCCACCCCTCCAGGGCTCTGCTGAGTCCCTCCAGCGCCCGTGCAGGGCGGGAGCAATGTGTGCAATGGGGCGCAGGGCTCGTGGCTCAGCCGCAGCTGGACCACGGCGCTCCTGCAGTCCGGCTGTGGGTGCTCTGTGCCTCCCCCTGCGCCAGCCTGTTGGCCGCACCATCTGTCTGCCTGGGGTGCCTGCCTGCACCCTGGGCCCGGGCGCCAACGCCAGCACCTCTTCCCTTGCACAGCACACGCCTGGGCGTGCCCTGGCCTGGTGCCCCGCGGCTCCCCACCCTCCCCATCAGGAGCAGTGGGGCCAGAGCTCATTTAATCTTCCCTGGTACATCCATCTCCCAGCCCCGGGGGTGCAGGCTCTGCTCCGGTTTGCAGGTTTGCTGGTGGCTGCTCCGGGGCGGTGGCCCTCAAGGCAGGGATGGGCTGACGGCTGTGGCTGGCTGCTGGCCGGGCAGGCAGGGCCTCCTGTGCCCGTGATTGAGCCTGAGCTGGCCGGTGGCATCGGAGGGGACGTGGAGCAGCCCCTGCGCTGGCCGCCCAGAGGCGATGGGGCCAAGGGGCAGGAGGTGGCGGGGGGGGACAGGTGGGCGGCCGTGCGGCTGCAGAGGTGGGGCATGCCCAGGCTGCAGGGCAGTCCCTGAGCGACGGGACGTAGGCTGTGCTAGAAAAGGGTGCAGGGTGTCCTCTCTGCACAGCCGCGTGCAGGCAGGGGTGTTTTCTGGTGGGCGGTTGCATTTCCTAGGTGATGGCAGGCAGGCGGATGCACCTCCTGGCACTGGGCAAGTATTTTGAAGCGCGCGGTAATATACAGATGATGTGTAAAAGGCCCCGAATTGTCTAATGTGTGGGCACCTCACTCATGAAATAAATAAATATATAAACTGTATCTAACAAGACAAATATAATGAAGGCGTCGTAAAAAGAGGCAGCTCTGGTATAAATTCTTGCTGGTGGAGCTGTGTGTCTGAAAGGTGGATTATAGAACTGCAGTTTGGAAGATTGAATGGCCCATAAACATTTTCATATTTCATTAGCCGATTAATGGACGGCTCTTTTTTTTTTGGCAACTTTGCTGATTCTCAGCAGAAATTGTGGGGAGTAAATGAAGGCGTCTGATGAAACCTTTCCGGGGGCCTGTCCCGTTATGGATGGTCCCAATTAATGCCCACGCTGCTCTCCGTAGAGATGCATTCTGCCTGTCCAGTTACTGTTAATAGATTTCTCATAAGTGGCTGGATTGTAAAAACCTCATAACTCAGTTTAATGCCACCAATAAAATTATCTCCGGCCGCCTGGCCTGGATTCCAGGCAGCGCCAGTTCTGCGGGGAGCTGCTGTTTACCCTTTCCCTCCCTCGTTTCAAATATTGTCTTAATTAGAAAACGAAGAGGAAATCGTTGGCCACAAAAGCAGCTTCCCCCGGGGCTGTTTTTCGCTCTGAACGCCGGGCAAGCCGCTCCGCTTCCTGCCGGCTGCAGCCAGGCCGGGGATTCTGCGCCTGGCGTGCGGCGTGTTTACGAGCTCCCAGGTGGAGAGCAGAGCGGCTCCGACAGCACAGGCTGCCCGCGAAGCAGGCGAGAGCTGGAGCAGTGCCGACAGGGAGAGCCAGCGCCTGCGCCCTGGCATAGCGGGCCCAGGGGCAGCGAGCTGGTGGGGGTCTGGCGTGATGGAGCCCCTTTCGCAGCGTAGCATGAAGGGGCCTGAGTGGGCTGGTGATGCGCCCCATCTCCATCCCTCGGTACCTGTTGTGTTGCGCTCTTGGTGCTCGTCCAGCTTGAGCCACGCGGGCTGATCTGTGTGGCTTGCATTTGGTGGCTGGGCGGAGGCTGCGCAGTGAGTTGGTGGCAGAGACTGGGTTCGACCCTCTCTAGGGTGTTGTTTTGTGTGCCCGAGCCCAGCTGGCCTGCGTGAGGATGGGCAGGGGCTGGACGTGTGAGGCACATCGCATCGTGTCAGTGCGGGACCAGGCTGGAGTGGGAGGTTGTGCCCAAGCCTGGGCACTGCTGTCTGCGTGGCACTGCCCTTGCCTCTGGCTCTGCAGCCAGGGGCTCCTGGGTGGGAGCAGCAAACAGGGCTCGGGCCTGCGCTAACGCTCTCCCTCTGCTCCTCCCTTGGCAGATCCACTCGGACTCGGACGAGGGGGACGGCTCCATCAAGTACACCATCTCCGGGGAGGGCGCAGGCACCATCTTCCTCATCGACGAGGTCACGGGCGACATCCATGCCACCGAGCGCCTGGACCGGGAGCAGAAGACATTTTACACGCTGCGGGCTCAGGCCCGGGACCGCCAAACCGACCAGCTGCTGGAGCCCGAATCTGAGTTCATCATCAAGGTGCAGGACATCAATGACAGCGAGCCCCGCTTCCTGGAGGGGCCCTACATTGGCAGCGTGGCCGAGCTGTCGCCCGTAGGTAGGTCCCCGCTGCTGTGCCGTGCTGCGCGTCTCGGGTACGGCACCATCGCCGGCCGTAAATCCCGGGGATTCCAGGCGCAACCGGAGCTAGGGGGAGCCAGGAAGGGAGAATAAATAAGGCGTCGTCAGGAAAACAAGTGAATAAATCCTCCGTGCTGAGCGCTGGCTGGGGCCAGGCGTGCAGCTCAGCCTGGCGGGCTGGCACGGGGAGCGGCTGCGCCGGATGCTGGCTCTGCTCCAGCAGCGCTGTGCGGGTCTCGGGGCAGGCTTGCAGGAGCAGGCCCTGGGCCCTTGCCCGTGGTGACCGGAGGAGGCAGTGGCAGCTGCGGGGACAGCGCCTCGCTCTGCCCCGGCCACATCTGCCTGGCAAGTGCCTGTGCTCCCCGACTTGTCTCTGCCCATCTGCACAGGCATCTGCTGAGCACCCATCGTCCTGGGCTGGGCTCTCCCAGCCTGTGCGGCGTACGGCCCCAGCACACTGGCTCCTCACGGCTTTTCTCACCTTGGCAAGCAGCTGACCATGGAGCGGGCCAGGTGCTGAGCTGGGGTGTCCTCCCGCCACCCCTCACCTGGGGGTGAGAGCAGAACCAGGGTGGGCAGAGTCGCTGGTTGTTTCCTGTCCCTGGTGTCCCTGCCCTGCGCTTTGCAGCCCTCCCGGCTTCCCGTGGGTGCCTGGGGGTGGAGGGCTGAGCCCAGCAGAGTGGCCTGGCCACACGCACAGTGCTCACACGTGCAAGTTCTCTTGTGCCACTGCGGTCGTGCTCTTCCAGCCCTGGGCTCCCCGTGCCACCCCCTCCGCAGCCTCCTGCGGCATGCACTGGGGCAGGCCATTGCTGCTGGGGTGTCACAGCCCTGGATTGCCCTCCCTGCAGCAGCCCCTCCCTTCGGCCCACCCCTTGCACGTCTGTCCTGTCTGAGGCACCAACCCATCCCATTCCTGCCCCCCGGCCTTGGCTCTGTGGCGCAGAGGTGATGGTTGTCTGGCTGCGTGCAATCCTTCCATGATGCCTACGCGTCTGCAGGGCTAAGCAAGGGCTGCAGCTGCGCTCCCTGTCCACAGGCTTCAGCTAGCGCCCAAGTCACCGTCCGTCTCCAGTCCCACTGCAGAAGCACCCCGTGGCCTGGGGGGGTGGAGGGGGCCCCAGCCAATGGGTGCTGCACGTGGCTGCCCTCATTCCCTGCCTGGGGCTGTGATATGTTCCGCCTCGTTACCCAGCACAGCTGGAGGCCCCTGGATCCAGCTGTGGTTTCTTGCTCTCTGACCCCTTGGGCTCCTGCTTGGGGTGCCATGCTGCTCCCCATCTGGGCCAGGCACCCCTGTGCTCACCGAGGTGGCCGCCGGTGTGGGGCGAGCAGGTGGAGCGCATGCACTGGCGCTGCAGCCAGGAACTGTAAATCAGCGCTCTCCAAAGGCTGCATCAAGGCACAAGACAGAGCCTGCAAAAGACTGACTGACATCAAACGATAAGGCAGGTCCCTCCGGGGAGTCGGCAGCAGATGAAAGGGGGAAGAGTGACAGGTGCGCGGAAGCACGGGAGGAGCTGCAGCCGGCGGAGCGGTGGAGCTAGGAAGGCCCAGAGGCCCTGGGAGGAGGCAGCGTCCCTGAGCCCCACTGATGCCAGAGGGCAGGGGGCTCCTGGCGGCAGAGGGGCCAGCGCTGCTCTCTGCAGGTCTGCCGTGGGCAGAGGCTCATTCATTTTAGGAAAGGGGTCTGGGCCGTGGCACCGTGAGCACCCGCAGGGGCACGTGGCCAGTGGGGCAGCGCCGTCTCAGCCCCACGCAGGATGGCATGCGGGGCTCTTTCTGGATATAGCAAATGCAGCCTGTTTGTTAGCTGGCTTGTTAAGGAGCCGTTCAACCGCCTCTGGCATCTTCACAGGAGTCATCAGACCGGGGGAGCTGCTGTGGGAACTTCCTGGCACCCCGAGCGCCCCGTCACCCCTCAACGAGGCCTCTCCCCATCCATGGCCGTGCCGCCAGCCGGGGTGCTGGCACCCAGAGCAGCCCCAGAGCTGTCCTGCTCCTGAAGGGCTATGGGGAATTAGATTAATTTATTTTGCTTGAACAACTTTTAGGAAGGGAGGGGACTGGCGACTCCATGCTCCAGACACGGCTCCGGCTGCTTTGAAAATCACTCACAATTATGGAGCTGCCTGATCAGAGGCTGATGCGAACAAGACGTATCAAAGGAGACGTGTCTGTGCGAAATCGAAGATCAGAGGCAGGGAGACGCGTGGCGCCGCAACATGAAAGCAGGCGATTCCTGCAAATTAAAGTGCTCAGAACTTGAAAGAGGGGAGAAGTGTTCGGAGCAGCACTGACGTGCCGCAAGCCGCAGCCACCACCCGGGAGGAGCCCGGGCCTGGGCGCCAGCGCTGCCCCCCAGACCTATGGGCACCCACACCCACCCAGCGCCTGCGAGCTGCCTGCTCGGAGGTCCCGTCACGGCAGGGTTGCCCGCGGGAAGGCGTGGAGCCCTGGTGCCGCCGGGCGCCGTCTGTGCCCGCAGCGCTGCATTGCATGGTGGTGCTGAGCATGGGCAGGGCCATCCCGGTGGGAGCTCGGTGCTTTGCCAGCTCCGTGCCCAGCCCAGCCCTTGAGCCACGCACGGCCTGTCCTGGGCACAGAGGAGAGTAAAGCACAGGGAGCAGATCAAAGGCCAGTGTTTGCATAACGAAGGAGGGCTAATTGGGGGGAACGGCATCCACTTTCCCAGCATCTACCAGGAAATTCAAACCAGCAGGGAGCAAGAGGAGAGTGCCAGAGAGGAGCTGGGAGCCTTGGCCACACACAGCCCCTCTCCTCCTGCCCTGGGGCCCACAGCAGCAGGCATGTGCTGGGCTGAGCCTGGGAGAGCTGGGGCTTCCCTGCTGGTGCCCCTGCCTGTGGGGCGGGGGCCGAGGCGGAGGGCTGGACAGGCCCTGGACCTCCTGGGGCTGCTGCGGCTCCGAGGTCTCCAGGCTGGCTCCTCCCTGCGCCTGTCTTGACACGCGGCAGGTCGATGGTGCAGGCTGGAGCACTGTCACTCGTGGCGTTGCTGCCCTGCGCTTGCCGCCGGAGCGGAGCGGAGCGGGGCTCAGACCTGTGCCTGGGGCCGGGGCCGGGTCTGATCCTGTCTCTGCTCCTGGCCGGGACGTCCTGCAGCAGCTGTCCCACCAGGGGCTGCTCTGGTCCCAGGCGAGGCCGGTGGAGCCGGAGCCGGAGCTGGAGCCGGGCAGGGCAGGGTGGGCCCAGGGGGAAGCCGGGCTCGTACGGCGGCAGCAGGATGGACCGCGGGCGCCTGGCCGAGTGCCTGGGAGCCGCAGGCACTTCCTCTCCCGACAGCAGCCTCTCAAATCCTTTGCGTTGCGGCACCGTTCCCAGGCTCCCCGGGGCTGCAAGCAGCTGCCAGCGGCTCCCGAGCCCTGCCCGTGCTGCCGTCTGGTGCGAGGTCTGCAGGTTGCACACGGCCGGCGTGCAGCGGCCCGGTCCTGGCGCGGGGCTGCAGGCCGGCCCCGGGGCCCAGCGTGCAGGCCGTGCGTCATGGGCAGGGTCCGCGGCACCCCCGTCCCACCGCAGTGCGGCTCAGCAGTCCAGACTAGAGGCGATTTGGCAGTGCGGAAAGAAAGCACGGGGTCAAGCCCCGACTCGGCACCAGCGCTGATTGCCGGGAGGGATCATTTAATCTCCCCACTGGAAGCAGAGGAAAGGGATTTGTTTAATGTGTAATCAGAGCGTTTACAGGCGATCCGACAGGTGGGTTTTAATTTTTAATACCAAGCGCTTGAAACATGAGCCAAGGCTGGAGGCAGCCGGGGCCGGGGACCCACGCATCAGCCGTCCGCGGCTCTGGTGGGCTAACGCCAGCCACACTTCGCCAGCTCAGCTCCAGGGTCACGGTGTGGCTGCAGCTCCAGGACCCCCTGCACGCTGAGGCCATCCGGAGCAGAGTGCAGGGCTGGACCCCGTGGCTCCCTGCTGCACCTGTGCACGTTCCCCGCCGGGGCTGGCTGTGCCGGGCTCTGCCTGCCCGGGCTGTGCTGCCCAGGATGCCGTTGGGCCCAGCAGAAGTCCTCGTCCCACCGTGCACCAGCGAGGGCTTGGCCGTCCCTGCCAGGTTTCATTAGCCCCGGGTTTTTCCAGGCCCTGCTGCAGCCAAGCAGGTTCCTGCCTGTTTGCCCCTGGGTGAGGGGTGCCATCGCTGCCAGCGCTTGCACAGTCGCGGCTCCCGGCCGGGACCAGGCACAGCTGGGCTCGGGTTCCCTTCCCAACGGCAGCGTGGACGTGCTCCGGGGCGCCCAGCCCTGGCACGCAGGAGGCCAGAGAGGGTTTCCCCGGCCTGTTGCTGCCCGGAGGAGAGCGCCCCAGGCGGGGATGGGGCGGGTGGGTGCCCAGGCCCCTTTCCCCCCTGCATCCGTGCGCGCTGCGTTTGCCGGGTGACGTGCATCGTAGCTGAGCGCTGCTGGAGCGGGCGCAGCAGGCCCAGAGCAGCGTGGATAACAAGGTCCCAGGAGCAATGAGGGAATTTGCCCCGGGTGAGTGGCAGGGAGATGGTGCCGAGCCCTGGGGCAGCGCAGCGGCTGCAGGCCATGTTGTGGCCCCTCGGGGCAGGGGCAGGGGCAGGGGCAGTGCAGCGGCCTGTGCTGAGATGCTCTGCGGTGCGGGGCAGCAGGGGACGGTGCATGGTAGCTGGGTAGTGTGGGGGCCTAGACCGCGTCTCTCCTCTCCGTGCCAGCACCTCTTGGAGCAGGAGCCACTCCTGGCAGCTGGGCTGGGCTGGGGCCCTGGCTGGTGCTCAGCCCTGCCCCGGGCACCAAGGGTCGGCCTCTCGGCCCCTTCTCCAGCGTGGCCCTGGTGTAGCAGGTGCCTACCAGGGCAGTGGGCCCCAGCAGCGCTGAGCGAGGGGCCGTGTTTGCAGCGCGGCGGGGCAGAAGTGGAGGCCTGCCCCGTGCCGTCGGTCCCACACAGCCCCGCTCTCCACGCCGCGTGTGCCCTGGCAGGCAGGAGAGGAGCTCACTAATGTCTCGGGACAAGCGCTGTGCAAAGGCAGAGGCTTCCCATCAACCAAATCCTCTGTCAGAGCCGCGGCTAAGCAGTCCCTGGGGACGGGGGCTCAGACTGTCTAATGCACCGGGCGCAGCAGCCGGCGGTGTGGCGGGGAGCGTGCACTCAGGCCTGGGCTGGGGGGGCTGCAGGACTCAGCCGTGGGGCAGGGCCTGCGTGGCTTCTTGCCCCCCTCTGTGCTGCTCCGGGGTGGGGATAGTTCAGCCAGGGCTGCTGCGGGTCTGCTGCAGCCGCCGAGGGGTGCGCGCAGCCTGGCGCGGCTGGAAGCGGGCGGGGAGCTGACCCGCGGCCCTGCCGGCTCTGCAGCAGCGGTGGTGGTGGTGGGGGGGGGGGCCTTTGGGGGGGTTGCTGCTTAACCCCCCCAGGATCTTCCCCCACCCCTGGGTGCTGAGCAGGGGTCTGGCCCCCGCCAGCCGGAGCAGGTATCAGCCATGTTGGGGGCTGAGAACGAAGGGCTGCATCCGCTGCGTCCTGCAGCCTGCCCTGCCCCTCCTAAGCATCCCTGGGGGGCCGAGGGCTGCTTGGACCCGCGCTCGCGCTCAGGGGTCTTGCAGGAGTGGGGGTGACCCCCGGCGGAGCCGGCTCAGGCTGTGCGTGGTCTGGTCCGTCCGTCCGTCCGTCCGTCCATCCGTCCAGGCTCCGCGGGGGCAGGGCAGCTCCTGCTCCATCGGCCACAGCATGCTTCACCCTTGCAGCCGGGAGAGAGTCGGGGAGGTTGTGCCCGAGCCATTAACCGTTATGTAGATGGGGCCAGCGGCGAGGGAGGGGCTGGCGCCCTGAGCTCATTTTACGTGGCTAATTATCCCTGCGGGTGCGAGCGCAGGATTCCTGGTCGCGGGGCCCGCACTGCTGCACATGATGGATGTTTGGGTTTTATTTATTGTATCTTTTATGGCGAAGGCAGATGCCAGGAAACTCAATCAACGGAGGAAGGTACATGCTGTCCTCGCTGCGGGCTCGCCTGCCTCCGGGCGGGGGCCTGACGCCTGCAGTGAGGGACCGGAGCCAGGACTCCTGGGTCCTCCTCCTGGCACTGCGGCGGGGTCAGGCCGGGATGGGGCCAGGAGCCCGGGCCTCTGTGCTGCATGCCCCTGACCGGTGGCAGGGGCCGTCTCTGTCCCCAGACCTGCAGTGGGGTTGATGCTCCCCCTGGCCTAGGGGCCAGCGTCGGGTGCAAGGGGCGGAGAAGGGCACAGCTGGGGGCCCTGGGACCACCGGCCGGGCTGTCCTGGGAGCCGTTCCAGGGCTGGCGGGCTGTGCCGCACGGCTCCCGTCAGGTTTGCTGCCCGTTGCCTTCCAGCAGCCACAGCTCCCTGCAGAGCCTCCTGCACCTGGCCCGGCTGGGTGCGGGCGCCGCGCGCTCTGCTCGGCACCCACCACATCCCAACGGGGCAATGCCTCTGTTGTGACCCAGGCCTGTCTGTCGCACACGGAGCAGCGGTGCTCCCGAGCCCTTGCCCTCACCCCGAGCAGGGGGTGGGGAGCGCGTTGCAGGTGCCAGGCTCATGCCGGGCGGTGGCGGGGGGCCAGGTGGAGCGGAGGGGGAGGGCAAGGGGCAGCCCAGTGCCGGTGTCCTCAGAGCCAGCAGCGAGCTAGGCTTGCCTCCGGCTCTGGATAGGCCTGGCAGGGAGCCGCGGGCACTTGACTGCCGGCAGCAGAGCCTAAACGGGCAGCTCCAGCCGGCAGGAGTGAGGGCCACGCACAGCGCCTGCTCTCACGGCCCAGCCTGGTCTGAGCTTTGCAGCCCGAGGCCGTGAGCTCCTCGGCCCCTGGGCGCTGCCCGAAGGAGAGTGCCTCCCACAATCAGCACGTCCCATCCTGAGCTGGGCCCCAGCCTGCTGCGCGGGCCGGCGCTGCCACCGTGGCGCCTGGCATTGGTGGGGAGGGTCTGTCGGCAGTGCGACGCTGCGGTGTGGCCTCGCCATGTGGCTGTGGCGTCTTCCTGGTGCAGGGGAATCGGCTGCCTCCCGCCTCCCCCAGCCCCTGCCTGGCTCTGCTTCCTCCATCCCCGCCCCAGCTCACGTCCGGGGTCCTGCCTTTGTCAAATTGAACATGATGTCAAATTAGAGCCATCACGGGGACAGTCAGTGTGAAGCACCCTGTTTAATGAGGCAGTGTTGAAAATCAATAACTTAATTGCAGCCGTTTGATGGACTTTTATCCAATTTATACTGCTCCTGCCCTGCTACGTGTGGAGCATGAGGACGTGCTGCTGTGTCTAGGCCTCGGGGAGGGGAGGGGGGGCGTCTGCAACGGCCCCCGGCCTCCGTGCAAGCTGCGGCAGAGGGAGCTGCCGTGACGGCCCCGGGCTCGGCCCCCCCATGTAGCCACACCCTGGGGGCTTAGCTCCAGGGGAGACTGCCCTTCGGCAGTACCTGAAGGGGCAGCCGGGCTGTGATGTCCCTGCCCCAGGCACCGTGCGGACCTCCAGCCCCTCCCCAGGCAGATGCTCCCAGCTGTGCTCCCCTCCCCAGGGCAGTGTGTCCTGTTCCCAGCCCCGCAGACACTGAGGCTCGAGAGCGATGCACTCCCAGCAGCTCCTCCCAAGGCAGCAGCATCCATCCCATCCTGCTCCCCTGAGGAGGGGTGCTGTCCCCACTGCTCTCAGCGCTGTGCACGGTCCTGCAGGCCACTTCCCTCGGCCCAGCTTGCTCACGCTCATCCCTCTGCTTTGTCTCCCCGGCCCAGGCACGTCTGTGATGCAGGTGATGGCGTCGGACGCCGATGACCCCACGTACGGCAGCAGTGCCCGGGTGGTGTACAGCGTGCTGGACGGCGAGCAGCACTTCACGGTGGACAGCAAGACAGGTTAGTGCCTGCCGGGCAAGGGGACTTGGTCTCCTGGGGCCAGGCACCAGTGCAGTGGCTGGTCCGCGCAGCCTGGGGTCGGGGCGGCTGGCCGGGGCTGCTCGGGGGGGGGCCGCGGGGCGCGGCGCAGCGCAGCACAGCGCAGCAGCCTGCCTGCAGGCGCGCAGACCTCTCAGTGGGAGCAGTTTAAATGCTACCAGAGGGGCTCTACCAAAGGCTGTGTTGTTATCACCAGGGCTTTGATTAAAGGTAACACTTTAAATTAAGGATCGGTTTATAAATGTTCTATTAATATTTAACGAACGCGCAGGAGAAGCTGCTCCGTTCCTTAATAACCGGTAATGGAGCCGTTGTAAAATGCGCCGGCTGTAAATCCCGAGCGGATGGTGCGCTGACAGCCCGGCGCAGAGCAGTGCCTTGCCGGGATGTTGGGGTGTGCGTTCTCCTGCCCTCCCGGCCAGGCCGCTCGTTACCTTTAACTGCAGCCTCACTTGCCGGGGAGGGAAGAGGCTTCAGCCTTAATCAGAGGTTGAAGGCACGGGGCGTGCAGTGAAGCGCCAGGAATTTATTGAGCGTCGGTAGGAGCGCTGTGTCCTGGCAGCATGCGGCTGGGCCCGGCACACCGGCTCCCCTCCGCAGCGGGTCCTGCAGCCAGGTGGCTGGGGCCCCGGACGGGGCGTGCCATGCGGATGCTGTGGCGTGGGCTGGGATGACTGGTCCCCGCGAGTCGATTGTGCAATCGCCTCCTGTCAGGCTGACATTTCTCCGTGCTGCTCTGGGCCCCGGGGAGGCAGCTTGTGCAGGTTTGAACCAGACCTATTCTGCTGTTGCTGAGCAATATGAGCAGGAGTGATGAGCAGGCTGCCTGTTGTGTGCACACAGGTGTAAGAGCTAGGGTGTGCATGCATGCGTGCGTGCACGTGCTTGTGCCGAGGCACGTGGCTTCTGAAACCCGGGGCTGGGGCAGGCGCACCTGGTGCCCCCAAGAAGCTCGTGTGAGCCGCCAGCGGTGGATGGGCACGAGTGAGGCCAGACGGGCATGGTGGCTCTTCTCTTCTGCGGATGGGGGCCGTGGGGAAGGGTGTCCTGCTGCTCCAGGAGGAGGCACAGCTGCCTCCCTGGGTCCTGTCCCAGCCAGCCCAGATGCCCTTCCTGCGCTGTCAGCACCATGTATGAGTGCCTTTCACCCCTCCCTGGTGGGTGGGTGTGGGGCTGGGGGGGAGCTGCTGTCCAGGGCAGCTCTCTGCCCCTCCTGCATGCAGGTGGGACTCGCACGGGTGCTGGGAGGGCTTGGCCTGAGTAAGGGCTGGGTGCAGCCTTGAGCAGAGGCCCAGGACTGGCCCCCTGGAAATGTGGCGTAGGACGGAGAGTGCAGAGCCCTGGAGCTCGGGCCACGCTGGCGCTCTGGCTCCTGCCTTGCACCCCCGGCCGGGGCCCTACGTGGAGTCCTGGGACTCCCAGCTCCTGGGATTCGACTACGTGGCCCTGAAACCCTCCTGCTAGACACTGCGCTGCGAAGGGGTTTGGGCTGGCTCTTCTCCAGACACTGATGCTGCTGGAAGAACGGACACCCTCTCCAGAGGGGCTGCTCTGAGCCGGCACTTGGGGCGCGCAGGCTGGTGGCCCTCAGCGAGCTGCCGGCTCCAGGACTCTGGAGATGCGCTGTGCCATGCCGCTCCGTGTGCCAAGCTGCGATCCCACTTCGGCTGCCAGCATAGTCGCAAAGCACCACGGGCATCCCCCGTCCCCAGAGACGGAGTCGCAGCCTGCGCAGGATGTGTCTGTTGGGGGGACGTGGGGTCGGCGGCGCTGCATTGGAGCCATGTCCCCCAGCCCCCGGGGCTGTTCTCCAGCTGTGGCCAGGGCTGCGGGCTGCAGAGGAGGGTGAGCACCTCCCTGTGCAGTGCTGCGGCCGGGAGCCCACCCTGACCCCTGCAGAGGCCCCGCATCTGCCCTGAGCACAAGGTTTAATTGCCCGTAGCTGCAGCGTAATGCGCAGAGCCACCGCTGTTATTAATGCTCATAAAAAGATCCATAAAAGCCTGGCACGTGCTGTTGCTGATAACATACGGCATGAAGAACAACGCACCTTCCCTCTGGCTGTGATCGGCCTCCACTGGGCTCCCGCCCCCATGCGGGCAGCTGTGCGGCACGCTCCATGCACACATCTTCCCAGCCCAGGTGCCAGCTTCTGCCCCCGCCTCCCTCTCCTGTGTCTGTCTCCCTCTCTCCGTGCCTGCATGAGAGCGACGTGGGGGCATGGGGAGAGGCAGGGCATGGCTGGTGCGCTGACTGCCAGGAGGTGGCTGGGCAGCCAGCTCCTCTGCCTGCTGGAAGGATCTGGGAGCAGCCGGGGGGTGCTGGGGTTTTGCTGCATGCGCAGCAGCACCTAGCGCAATGGGTCCTGCCTTGAGCGAGGTGGGCCAGCCGTGGGGCGCGGGCTGCCTCTGCTGGCAAGGAGCGTGGCGGGTGGCGATGGGGCGCGTGCACGCCTGCATCCCCGTGGGGCGGGGCGCGCCGCGTCGCTCGGCCCGTCTCCGCCGCGTGCATTGGAATGCGGGGAGCGCGGAGCACAACAAAGCGCTTGTGCTGCAGCTGAGCCGTGCCGGCATTTGTGGGCTTGGGAGGATGTGAAGAAAGAGCGTAATTGATGTTTACAAGCTCTCCTTGCCTCCAGAAGAACAGCAGCCCTGTGGCGTCTTCCAAGAGCCGCCTCCGCCAGCCTGTATTGTGTGTGCTCCAGCCCCCAGCGTGTGCCTGCACGTGCCCGGGGCCCTCCTGCCCGTGGCTCACGCAAGCACAGGGGCTGCAGGCACCGGGGTCGTGTTGGCTCTGGATGTGCCCATGGGCACTGTCTGTGGGGCCAGAGCACTGGCCCTGGCCTGTTGGGCAGGTCCAGGCTTGGGGACTGCGTGCGGCTCTCGCGTTCCTCCTCCTCCCCTCCCGCCAGCTGCGGGCTGCACAGCTGCTGCCAGCTGCCTGGCTCTGCTGGAGGTAGCAGCGGTGAAGTGCAGAGCTGGTAGTGCACAACCACAGCCTGCCTAGGGTGCAGGACGCGGCTGCGGCAGAGCGATTGCTCGCGAGGACGTGGTCAGGCTGTCCGGGAAGGTGTGCGACCGGCTCTGCACGGGCTGCAAGGGAGCTGTCCTGAGCACCTGGGCGGCAGTGCATGGTGGAGCCTGTCTGGCGGCAGTCGCAGCTGGTGCCAGCCCTGCGGCCTGGCAGATACGCAGCGAGCTCTTCACTCTGCTGCCTCTGTCTGCAAGGACGGCTCAGCACGCCCGTGCACAGAGCAGCTCCCCCCAGCGCGGGGAAGGAGCCTGTCCTCCGACGGGGGCGGGGGCTGTCACCAGGGCTGGGCCCAGGCTCTGTCCAGCTGTGCTGGTCTGAGCAGACCAGTCCCAGGAGCCTCCCCCTCGCCACAGCAGTGCAGAGACCTGGCCTTGGTCGAGACCTAGCCACCAGTGCATTGGCAGCAAGGGAAGCCTGGGCTGGGGCGTGGGGCCTCAGAGCTGGGGGGAAAATGTGCTTCTGCTTCTTCCCCAGAGTCAAAGGGGCCTGCTCCTGCCTGGCCCCTGCCCGGCGGCACCGAGCACGAGGTGTGTGCAGCAGTGCTCACAGGTGTGCCCTGACATGTGTGACCCTGCTCCTCCCAGGGGTGCCAGATGCCTGGGCCATTTTGGGATTGTGCTGTTGAGTGGGGCAGGGACAGGTGCTGGGGACGTACTCCTTGCAGAGGTTTCTCGGTGTGGGTGGGAGATCCCCGGCCCCTCTCCAAGGCATTGGCCCTTTAATGAAGTCCAGGACGGGGGATGTGTTTACTCTGCAAAGTGGAAATGAATGTTTAATGGCAGGAGGGATCTGGGATCCGGCGCTTCTGTGTGTTGTGGGGCTGGGGACGGGCAGACGCAGGGCTCCCTCCCCTCCCCGCAGCTGCCCCTGGGCAGGCAGCCTGGGCGCCAGGGTCAGTGCAAGCAAGGGGCTGTGGCAGGGTCGCTGTGCGCGGCAGGGACAGGCCTCTGCTCCTGGGACCGGCCCAGCCGCTCGTGCTGCGGCCGCCTGCTCCTCCCTGCCCCGCCACAGTGCCGGCCCTGCATCCTCGCGGCCTGCCCAGGGGGCTGGGACCTGTCAGCCTTGCAGCTACCTCCGCACAGAACTGAGTAGCCCACGGCGCTCGCCCTCTCGGGAGGCGCGCCCGTCTCGCCCACGAGTGGCTCCGTGGCGGGGAGCTGATGGTGGTTGTGTGATGTAGCGAGTGTCCCCTCGCCTGGCGACTGCTCTGCGATTCACCTGGCTCACGCTGGAAGCTGTGGGCGGCCAGCACCG